TTCTTAAGAATTTCAATAGGTGAGAAATTTTCTTTAACCGAAGTTGAACGACTATTACTCTTAAACTAACAAATCTATCTTAACCGTTATAATTTTCCTTAAAAGTTCATGAAAAGTATTATTATCATGAATTTTTCAGGTTTTTCAAGCCCTCTAAAAGCAATAGTTTAGCTATTGGGGGGGGGGGGGGGGGGGGGGGCGCACGCTACTCGAATAAAAATTTCAATTGGGTAGACGATGACATACCTCCACAAAACAGCTCTCTAGTGCTAATAGTCTCCAAACAAAACCGGGGACTGACAGACAGACGGACATCACGAAATTATAAGGGTTCCTTGTCAGGACTATACTTATAATAATATTGATTAACGTAAGAAAATATGGTACTCATGTTACTTGTATGGCTACATTGCAAATAAAATTGGGGAAGGGCGCTGAAGCCAAAACATAGGATGAACTTCCTAGTTTGGCTGAGGATATCTAATTATATGTACTTTGTGTGAAATAATGGCCTTAGTTTTAACATATTTATAAGATTATTACTATGTACAATTTTTTACAAAAAAATATTATAATTATTATGTCGGGTTATTAAAAAGCGTTTAATTATAATAATAATAATAACCATTTATTTCAGGCATACTACCCATATTACATACAGAAATATATAAAAAAAATGGCAATCAAATGAAATAATTACAATCACAATAATAATAATTCAAATATAAATTTCAAATAATTACAATTCATTTAAATTACATCATAATCCAATAATCCAATTATCAATCAAATAAAATAAAATAAAATAAAATCAAAAACAAATAATAATTGAGTCCAATAAAATAAAATCGATTACAGAAGGCAAGAATGTCAAATATCACAAATCACAAATGTCATATTTACAGCAGTCATACACAGCACTAATTATTAAATTCCAACTCATTCTAATGCGATCCATAAAGGAAGCGGCTCTTTTTCTTATTACAGCATAGAAATCATCAACCCTATTCTCCGCAAACATGCCCGACGCACTACATCGCCACGGCAGTTTAAGCATGGCTCTAAAAGCGTTATTGTACTGTACACGTAAAGTGTGGTATGCTCTCTTTGTATAGTTTTTCCACAAGTAGCTAGTATAGAACGACTGACAATAAGCGCCGAATAGGGTAATTTTTACAGGCACACTACACCGAGCAAATCTGCGAGCTAACATATTACTTTTGGCGGCAATGGATCTCCTGTGTCTTTCTATGTCATCGTCATCATTTAAGTTACTTCTTATAATATGTCCCAGGTATTTAAATTGTGATACGATTTTTAGCTGTGATCCCGCCAGAGTTACAACAGGGTTAAACATATTCGTCCTATCATGCCTGAATATCATTTATATGTCAGACCATGACGTGATGCATATCTTTCACAAATATTGATAAGTTTCCGTAGGCCCCTTACAGAGGGACTCAGCAGGACCATATCGTCAGCGTAACTCAAGTTATTGACAGGGTGATTGCACATGTAACAGCCAACTTTGGACCCACTGAGTTCATCCATCAGTCCGTCCACATAAAGATTAAATAGGATTGGCGACGTGAGGCCACCCTGTCTTACGCCACACCCAAGCTTATATTTTTAGCCACGGGTCCATGGCGATCCGGTCCTTTGAGGCATTCATGGGGCAAAAGTCAAAATGAAGAGGCCTTTTAATACCCTTTTCTAATAAGTGAGATGGCTGCATCTATGGCGGTTTATCCCTTAATGAACCATTGAGATGCACAAACGGACAGTCCTCCAGCTAGCTGCCGAGCTATTGCCAGGGAGGGATTTACTTGGTTTGGGCTATGTGGATGGGATGTTAGTGGACCGGATAATTGGGTTATGGAGTGAGATACGGACATCTACCTAAAAATCTCTCACAACAATTTTAGGTGACTTGCTACTCGTTGGCTATACAGCCAGTGGGCACCCTAACTAGCAACGAAGATGCGGCCAGGGCGCAACACAATGTGAGCAGCTGAGGGTGTCGAGAGGTGCGGCTCCGGTTTCACCATCACAACCGTGTAGTGTGTTTTGTAGCTATGCACAGCTTTTGTGATCTCCTCATACATAGCATCCACTTCGTCATCTGGGTGCGTCGAGGTCGGAGCATAAACCTGTATGACATTCAATGATTATCGTTCTGATATTCTGAGTATCAGGTATGCTACCCTGGTCGACATACTTCCGATGGTGATCACGTTGTGAACAAGACTTGTGGACGATAAACCCGACACCGCCTTGGGACTGTTGATCGCCCTCCCGGTAGTATAGCAAGTTACCAGAATTGAGGATTATCGAGTCCTATCCCTCTCTTCGGACTTCAGATAAACCAATAATATCCCAACGTAACTTACTAATAGCTTCTTCCAACTCTATTAGCGTCGGTCCTCAGTGTGCGCGTGTTGTAGGTCGAGTCGTCGTAGGTGGTAGCCGGATCTTACCCGGGGATTCTTAGCACCCTCCCTTTGCCCCGCCGTTACCATAGCTGCTACCGTGGCTAGGAATAGCAGGGCTGCTGGGGACTGGGGGCCAATCTTTAATTGTGCTTCTCATTTCTTGGGGGGGTTTTGCCAGAATCACCACGCTTGGCAGGCGGATTGGTGATCGCAGTACAGCCAAGATATTGCAACAAGACGCCCGTCTTCTGCTGGCTGTGCTCCCATAATCGCCTTTTACGACACCCATAGGACGAGAGGGGTGGTGCTATTCTAGGCCGATACACACACGGCACACCAGCTAAACACGTACCATCTAATATTTTATTCTTTTTAAATAATAAAAGTAACAAAAATGTTGTCAAATATTTTAATTTGATTTGTAACTTAAGTGGAGCCTGTGGTTATTTTTTCAACTCGGCGATTGCGGTGGAGGTGTAGCCCGCGGGCTCCAGTTTGAATACCGCTGGTGTGGGGTTACTCCTAGGACGATGAACCTCGCTATGTCTATGGGTAACTCAGAGATTGAATAGAATAGAATAGTTTTTTTTAATGTGATTAGCAGTCCATGTCATTGTCCAAAAAATTGTGTATCATAACAATTGATTCAAAAAGTAGCTTATTACATTAAAATGTAAGTAACTGAAATTCTCTTATATCGCACTATATGATAGGTGCACAGTATGTGAGTAGAGTGTAATTATTCATAGCCACACACGATCAGCATTTCCTACATTACATCAAAATCCAGCTTGTTGGCGCTGACGTTCTGTACACATACCGATTCGATTAAGTGGATTTCTCTAATTATAAGGGAAGCATTGATGTAAGGTTCAAAGAGTAACGAAGATCCCCCCGTCCTCACTCGAAATCTCTGACAGTCATCGGAATTACGTTCAAACATAATTAGGACTAAATTGCTCACCGTGTGTTTGTAAATGCTGTAACTGTAACAGATGTGATGAATCTATATCTATACATAAAATAAAAGGTAGGAAAGTCAAAACTGTACAATGAATATTTTTAAAAGATACTTGGGGTGTACTACAATCGATACCAAAGCCAAAAATATAGTTTTTCGAATTTTTGTCTTTTTGTCTGTATGAATGCCGGAAAAATCTCAGAAAGTTCTGCATGGATCTACTTCAAATTTGGCACGAATATTATTAAGAAGTCAGGTCAACATATAGGCTAAATATTATCATGCAATCACCTACGAGGAACGAGCAGTGATCCTTTATGTCTAACTAACTCCACGCGTACGTAGTCGCGGGCGGCCGCTAGTAGTTTAATATTTTGATTTTCTTGTAATATATTTTAAGAGTGTCTACAGAATAATTTGATTAGTATCCTACAAATAAAGGAAACGAATATAAACAAAATGCATTATAATAAAACATTCACTTTATAAAATGAGAATTTTTTCGAATATTTTTTGCCTGATTCGTCAGCAACTCAAAAATATATAAAAAAGGCCAAGTGAGACTGGCGTTAAATATGGTTCCGTATCATAGTAGAAAACAACTTACATTTGCAATACATCAAAACAAGAGCTTTTTTGCAAAACACCATCACCATGGCAAAGTTTCATGTAAAACGACCCCCTTAATGTTGTTTTTATGCGAAAAGGGTGGCAAACGAGTATATTCGTCGCCCGCATGATGGTAAGCGGCCGCCATATCATATAATTTTTCACTGTCTTTTTTTTGTTTGCTCTTTATTTTTATGGCGGTAATAGAAATTTAGCACACATTCTGAAGATTTTTCATATATCTACATATATGACAATATTATTAAAAAAAAACACGCGGACTAGGCAGCAGACGCGACTCGAACCCGCACCCTTCGCTATCCGGACGAATGCTCTGAAGCATAATAGGTCAGTGCATTCGCCCGGATAGCGAATAGTGCGGGTTCGAGTCTTTAGATTTAAACGTTGAGCAGTTATATGCTTCATCATCAGCCTATTAAAGTCCCCACTGCTGGGGCACGGGCCTTCCCTATGGATGGAATAGGGAGATTGGGCCATGACCCACCACGCGGGCCCAGTGCGGATTGGCGGCCAACGACTGCAGATGCAGCCGGGACTAACGGTTTAACGTGCATTCCGAAGTACGGAGGAACTCGAGATGGAAGATTTTTGGTTACCTATCCAATGACCGACCACTGCGAAAGTTGCTTAACTTCAATGATCGCAGCCGAACGCGCTAACCACCAACGCCATCGAGCTCCTCATGTTAGTAACATGCTTAAAAAAATTAAAATATCTATATGATTTTGGGATTTACTGGATAGCGGCAGCTATTATAAGGGGTAACCTTGCACCTTGGGAAGTACTCCCACCATTCCTGAGCCCTATACCATACCATAGGGTCGAACGTCTAGCGCAGCAAAAAAATTTTTTCAGCAATCGGCCATAACTTTTGCTCGCGTCTAAATCGTCAGTCTATTGAATAGGAGCTACTGACGGGTTAGGTATAAACAGGTTATACAAGTTATATAGGTACCTAATGAATCATTTCTTTTCAGATTTACCCAAAGAGGGACCAGAGATGCATGGCATGAAGAGCCGGTACCGGCGCGGCATGAAGTTGAAGGTGGAATGCATAAGCAGAGACTCTTTACCAGCAGCCAACCTCTCGTTTTTTATAAATAGCGAACCTGTAAGTCCCCCTTTTTTTAATTTGGATCAAAAAACAGTTTCACAAAATAATTTCTTAAAAATAATAACAATAATATGGTTTAGGTATTTGTGAAACCAACACCGTTGACCACAGATAGTTAAATATGTTTTTTTTTACACCCTATTGAAGCAGATATTATTTATATATTATATTCACTTTTCATGTAATTCAAAATAAGCTGTAGGTAAGTGGTGTAAATGATGTTGATTTCAAGTTGACAGGATATTTAAAATACATTTTTTTTTAATGAATAAACATTGAGACTAAATACATCTACATTTGAAAAGTTTATGTTATAAGCTTCGGTGAGACGGTACATAGGTGAGCGTTTTCCAGAATTAGTACGACAATACTTAGTAATAAATAGTTTAGCGGTACAGCATGCCCTTATACGCGGTCTCACCGGCACTTGATAAAATATTCTATTTATTATTTCGGTACAGTCATATTTATTGTGGCAAAGGTCATACATACATTAACATAGCCTGTAGTTGTAACCTTCTTGACTTAAGTGGCAAAATTTTATAACGACCTAGTAGTTGTTCATGTGATAATCTACTACGATAGCATTTGTAATGCACGCAGTGTAAAAATTTTATTTGCACTCTTTCAATGCTTTCTGAGTATTTGTTATAAAATGGATCCCATACTGAAGCAGCATATTCTAATTGTGAGCAAATTAATGATTTATACAGATGGATATATGCTGTAGGTTTCTTAAAATTTTTACAGGCACGAACAACAAGACCATACATTTTGTATGCTTTATTACAGATACTTTCGATATGTTTGTCAAGTATTAGTTTTGTATCCAATATAACTCCAAGATCTCTTATGCTTGATACACTGTCGAGTTTAGTGCCACACAAGGACTAAGGAAATTTTATTGCTTTCTTTTTTCTTGTAAAGGTTATGCTTTTACACTGTGATGTTAAATTCCCCTCCACTGCCCTCTTTTCGCTCACTCAGAGCACCGGGGGAACAATAAAAGAAAACCAAAAAAAATTAAGATAATGTTATAAGTATATTTTATCCACTTTAGATACCAAAGCATAGGAATTCAGTAGTTTTAAGTTATTGCTTATATAAATCAACAAGTCTAACTATGTTTATTATTTATATAATAACTATGTTTCACTAATTATAAATATCTAAGCTGAATACAGTAGTTCAAAGTTAATGTGTATATAAACCAACAAGTTGTCATGAAAGGTTATAATTATAAGAATATCAGACATTCATAACACTTTACCATGTACTTACAATATAATACTTACTAATATTTTTTATCCACAAATACTACATAGACTATACTGAATAAGCTATTTAGTGGATTTCAGAGGTTCTACGGCTCGTTTGATCGATATTGGTGACAAACTTAGTTAATTCTAGTTCTCAGTGAGATCACCAGCTATATAGATATATGTAAATATATGGAAATGGGTAAGTCGGGGTCCAACCTCGCCTGTTGTTTCCTCTCCACGTTCACCCGGGGTTAGTAGAGAAATACCTTGATTATGATAGGTTTAGCTGTGTATAATCTATCTGCTGTTACGGCCGGGTTACATAAAACCGGAGAGCGGCTGGCAATTAAACTCCCGCGTCCCTTCTAGTCCGTGTACAGAACAAAAGTCTCCTTGTTAGTCCTCCAATATTTCTTGAGGGGAACGTACAAGCCGTTCGAAATATGAAACTATCCGTAAGTATTTTGTTTCCTATCACAAGTTACCGCCTTATTATTGCAATCGCCTTGCGAAGGTTCGTGTTCGTCCACCTACGAAACTCAGTTCGGTTAGCGACTCCGCGCTTTTTCCGCCAATATCCTTCGGGATATAAACTTTTTGGATCTATCTCACGACTTCGACGACAATAATATGCCGTTTATTATACTTTGGGCAGAAGAAAAGATGAAAAGTTAACTGTACCACAAACAGATTGTGAAATTTTAAAAGTTGTTTTTACAATTGCTCATAGATGATAGACGGATCGTCTACTCCCAAACATGTGTCTATGATTTGTTTCCCACTTCAACTGAGGGCAAAGGCCACAGTCAAACAGACAGCCGCCGCATTCGAGACGAACCGAAGAATAAACTCAAAACTATATACCTACGCTCGCCGTAAGCTGAGGAAAAGGGAATACCTACCCAAATCAGCGAGGAAATTCAATTTCGAGTAAAATTCAAAATCGATTAAAAACAGCACCCGATAATGAGGACTCAAATCGATCTGGGAAAGACTATTCAGAATTCAACAACTGTCAAACTCCATCCATTCATCCACGCGCCCCCACAGAGATTCCCCGCCTGATTACTTTTTTTTTTTTTTTTTTTTTTTTTTTTTTTTTTATAAGTCTCAAGGCGAATATTTTAGTCGAATAGGAAAATCGACTCTTCCCTCAAGGCTACCAACCCAATCAATGAAGTTTGACAGCTACGCTGACGTAAGCGGTTCGCTATCATAGACAAAACAGCTGTCCTACGTGTGTCAGTGTCACGCTCTGTTTAAAAACAAACACTACAGTATCCCCCCACCCACGGCAGAATTCACGTAGGGAATTCGTCGAACGCCCTCGTTCGTATATCCCCATGTCTTATGTACTTTAGTTAAGATATGATTAAGTTATGTTGTATAAAATAATAGAATATTATAAACCGCTAAGTTAAAAAAAAATAAACATACAGAACGATAAATCATTGATAAATCTCTAAGTTGTAACAAAAATAGATAATAATAAATGACAATAGTAACACAAAGTGTATACCACTCAAGGCCGTACCGCAAGCATCTTTGCTCCGAAAATAGATATAATAAAAAAATTATAATGTTACCAGTTATACCGCGAAAAACATAATGGTAGAAAATTAACCAAAGAGATGTTATTGGTCAAAGGCGATTTGCTCACAAAATTGCATGTTGTGTGTTCGTCCATCGTGTGTCTCATTTACTGTCTCCCGAGAGAAATAAAGAAAATATCATAAATATTCTATGCTCATCATAGGATATTATGATAAAAGTTGTTGTTAATACGTTTTCATTTGTATTAGCAACTCCAATAAAATGCCTTGGTAGGTAAAAAACTAACAAGCACATTAACAAAACCTTCTCCTGGAAAAGTTAAGAGACAATTAAGTGTTTAAGCATTAATTAGGTGGCAAACAAAGAGATCACACTATCGGGGACGAACACACACATGGGTATCTAGGATGCAGTGTGATACCAAGACCCATTGACGATTTCTACGTCACGCCGGGCAGAAGGCGGAATGGGTATTCGTCGGCCGCCACATCCACGGCGATAAATCCCTACCTAAATATCTATTCGGGGTCAGCGCTTTTGAAATCCTTTATATGCCATTTGCCTACATACTTCCCGTTTTCGTCTTCGAGCTCGTAAACGAGGGGGGAGAGTTTACGGATTATTTTGCAACGTTCATATTTCGGTGCAAGTTTGACTGAAAAGTATTTATGAGCCGCGCTTTGTTTATACGTCCGTTTCCAAATGTAATCGCCTACGTTAAAGGAAATATCCCTACGACGCCTGTTATAATATTTAACGTTCCTATCGTGGGCTTTTCGCAGTGAGTCCTTGACCTTTTTAAAGATTTCACCTAAATGACCCAGATTAGACGCATGGGTATCCCGGGGTACTATCACTAACTCGTCAAGATCGTTGAAACCGGCATAAATACTACCATCGGTAACAGCCTCCCTACCATGAACTAACATAAACGGAGTATATGACGTGGATTCGTTCACAGAGGTGTTCATAGCGAACTGGATCTTATGAATATTCACGTCCCAAGATCTATGGTCATTTTCAACGAACGAGGCCACCGCAGTGATGACAGTACGGTTATAACGTTCGACAGTGTTAACCTGAGGGCAATACACAGGACCCAAATGGACTTGTGGTATATTATATTTGGCATACAAAGATTGAAGTTCATGGCTTACAAATTGCGATCCGTTATCGGAGATCACGGTTTGAGGTATACCATGAATCAAAAAGACATGATCCTCCAGTCGCTGAGCAATCACCCTACCCGTAGCTCGACGTAAAGGAAATAATAAACAATATTTTGTAAAGCAACACACTACTACCAGCAAATAGTTGTTTTGCTGTCTGGACATCGGCAGTGGGCCAACTAAATCGATGCTGATGCACTGGAATGGCCGACAGCAAACTTTAGGTTCTCCCATGAACCCAGGAGTTGCCAGTGAACTGTGTTTGTATGCGTTGCAAACCGAGCAACTCTTAATAAAATCCACGGTATCCTTATACATACCGGGCCAAAAATATCTTAATTTTAAACGTTTATAAGTTTTTGCCACACCAAGATGAGCCGCGATTGGTTCAGAGTGGTTCTGTTTAATTATAGATTCCCTACTCTCAATCGGGATAACCTGTTTCCACTGGTAATCACCACTGAGCTTATTACTACTTTTTGTGAAACGGTATAACCTACCATCAACTATCTGAAAATTTGGACAAGCTCTAGGTTTGTCCGTACAACGTTTAATTATATTATTATACCACGAGTCGGCTGTGGCGTCAGTGATACCTATAGATGCCACGGGAACAGAGCGGGATAACGCGTCAGGTACCACATTTTGTGAGCCACTGCGATGTTCTATTACAAAATTATAGGGTGATAATCTACAACCCCAACGCGCCAAGCGACCGGTCGGATTTTTAAGCTTCAGAAACCATTTTAGACTAGCATGATCGGTAATAACACGAAATGGCCTACTACCCTCCAGATAGGGACGGAAATGCTCGACTACATGTACCACAGCTAAAGCTTCCCGCTCGGTAGCCGAGTAATTTCGCTCGGCGTGGGTAAGTGAGCGACTACAATACGCGACCGGATGCTCCTGGCCGTCTACGGTTTGGGTGAGGGTACCTCCAATGCCAAAATTGGACGCATCGCAATGAACTGCAAATTCCTTCGTGAAGTCCGGACATGCCAAAACTGGA